ATATCATTTTTAAGAGATGTTAATGAGGTCTTCAAAAAGTCCTCTTAAAGAGCTCTTCCTCTTAATAATGCTCACTGGGAAAAGATAAAATAATTTATATAATTTAATTTATATAATTAAAAAGATTTATATAATAAAAAAGATAAAATACTTTTAATTTCTCATGAATTCTTGAAGTATTTAAAATACTGAGTCGCAAAGTATTCATAATAATGAATTTTTGAGAAATACTTCAAAACAAACTGATTGTATGTTAATTCTTTTAGAATTCTTCAAATATTTATTTTTTTAATTCTGTATGTATTCTTTAAAATGAATTCTCTATAAACTTCTATTCATCTTTGTGCTATCTGGGAAGTTATGATATTGAAGAGTTTTATAAACGTACTCTTTTTTTCTTCTTTTTTTTTCTTTTTTTTTAAATTAACCACAGCTGTCTTAAATAATAGTTAATTATTTTTAATTCAAAAACAATATTGAATAAACAATAAGTCAAGCTTTTAAGTAATTATATTGCTATTTTTACAATTTTATACATGCTGTCAAACTTTGGCCTGCAGTGTATGTCATTAGCATAAGATATGATCTTATTAACATTTCAAAGTTTGTCGCAAACATGCAGTTGAAGATACACCAGCCATATTTCTTTTTGAATTAATGCGCTGAAAGTAAGATAGGAGCAAAAATCTATAATGTATTCGTGACGTCATTTCTGCCTTCAAAATAGAAGCAATTCGAAATGTTAAATAAACAGTGCTTGCAACGCACTGAGATAAATATTTTCTGCGATATGTAATTTATATTCTATTTCGTTGGATTGTGAGAAATTGGGAGGATTGAGCGAAATTAGGTTAGATTAAAGTTGTATGTCGCTTGACTACCGTTGTCCAACGCAACGCGGCGTTTCATGGCGGTAGGGACGACAATCACGTAGCGGTTCTCTGGCATCGCAGTCGTACGTAACGTCCGCCATCTTTTCTTTGTCGCTCGTCTCGTTACGGATCGTAATTCTGCAATATTGGCACATAATTTGTCGAGGAAACACGTATTTTACTACGAGAAGTGAAAACGACGCGAGGGAAAGATGAGTTACGGCAGGCCGCCGCCCCGTATCGACGGGATGGTCTCTCTGAAAGTCGACAATCTTACATACAGGACGACGCCGGAAGATCTGAGGCGCGTGTTCGAACGATGCGGGGAGGTCGGCGATATTTACATCCCTCGCGATCGCTTCACGCGTGAGAGCCGTGGCTTCGCGTTCGTCAGGTGAGTGTCTCGAAATTCATTACATTTGAAATGTATCGTAGTATATCTAGCCAGTCGCTGAAAATCTTAGACGTGGACGCCAACGCAATGCTGACGTCATAATGCAAGCGCGGCAGTCCGTTTGCTGTATCGTGTTGTTTCTCAGAACACTGCTTCAATATATACTCTCTACCGTGGGACAAAATTAATAGATAAACAGATCATTTTTATGTAACATTAATTCATACTTGGGATTCATCAAGACAACAGATTTAGATGATATATATAGCATCTTCATATTGATAATTCTGATTTTCTTTATCTGTGTCGCAGGTAATATCTATACCTCGGAAAAGGAAGCAGCGTTGTAAACATGGAATTCATAATTTTAATTATTAATTAATAGTTTTATCTCGTACAGAATGCACCTGAATTAAATAACTGCAATAGGAAGATGTGTTATCAGAGGAACAGATTCAATTCTAAATATAATTTAACACTTTATAATATTCTTTGACAGATTTTATGATAAACGTGATGCTGAAGATGCATTGGATGCCATGGATGGAAGGCTGCTGGATGGCAGGGAACTTCGAGTTCAAATGGCTCGATATGGACGTCCAACGTCTCCGCACCGTAGTCGTGGAAGTCGTCGCCGTGGCAGGTAAGTTATTACATCAGTTTCAGAACATGAATCTGAGAATAGAAATTACTAATGTTTTATTACACGATTGCTCGTGTACTTTATGAATATATTACAATAATTTTTAATTATGTTTACAGATCACGAAGTAGAAGTAGAGATCGGAGACGTTCTCGAACTCGATCTCGCAGCAGGTCACGCAGCCGTGATAGAGATCGCAGGCGCTCTTACAGCCGTAGTCGCAGTCGCTCTCGTTCTGACAGCAAAAGCTCGCGTGGCAAATCACGCTCGCGCAGCAAATCTCAAGATAGGCAAAAAGACAGTCGATCCAAATCCAGGTAAGAACTACTTACAAAAAGGGTACACAATTCTTTCTTCACCTTGTTAATTAAAGATATAGTTGATTTAGAGTGCAAAAAATGACCTATTTTCAAGAATGTTTATAAAGAAAATTATTAAACATGTAATTTTTAAATTTGGCACACATATTTCTTATATTTTGAGAATTTTTATGGATTTTTGTATGTCAAAATGTAAAGTACTTTCCTTGCTTAATTTTACAAATATAACATTTGTAAAAAAAATCTATATTGTTGGCTTACATAATTGTAGCGATGAAAATTGAAACAATCAAGATTCTTATTAATTATGAATGTAGCTAAAACGCCAAGAATAAAAGAAAAAATTAAAAGTTGTCAAAACGATGCAGTTTTAAGAAATGCATTGATTTAAAAAAAATATTTAGTTTAGAAATATCACAATAATTCTAGTTTAGGATATAAACAGAATTTATATTATAAAATGTGGTTTCTCACAAACAAACTGAGAGAAAATAGTAAATAATAATTAATTCTTGTACTCTAACAATTATATTTCTGGTTCTTATTGTCTTCTCTATCAATTTAGAATTTATTTCTGTTGAAAATGTGTTTCCGGGAAATTGTCAATTAGCTTAAAAAACATAATTTTGAGAAAATAATTTGAAGTTTTGAATGCAAGCACAATTTACTTGGGCACAGTCTTTATTATTTATATATATTTTGAAAAAATTTCTTAAAAGTTAATTTTTGAGCTCATGGTATGAAAAGGATACAAAAAAATCAATTGTTTTAAAATCCTACAGAAGAATATCTTGAAAATTTGATTTCATTGTTAAGATAAGAATAATAAGTTTTGAATTTGCAGCGTTGATTAACTTTAATCGATAGTTAAAATATGTCAACAGAATTGCTAACATGAAGAATGAAATATAAAATATTGAAACTTTTTTTTCCTTTGATGACGATATTTCATTTATGTTGGCAATTTGTCGACGAGTTTTAATCGTCGATTAAGATTAATTGACGCTTGAAATAATCATTCTTAATGAATTCTCGTATGTTTCCAGGGACTGAGCTTATTGAAGAGTGCAAGCAGATAAGAATGAATGTTCGCGCGTCCATCGAGTGCCGAATAATCTATGTTGAGATTGAAAAAAAAGGTATTCCATCACCTTTTATAGCAACACTGTCGCACGCTTCTTCATGTTCTTCTATCATTTAAATACATACATATTATATACATATATTTGAATTAATGCTACGTATCTCTCTAATTTAGAAACGTGATTAGTTTTTCTATAACACGTTTTCTTCTGTGTTCTTCTCCCTTATTCGCGCTTTGACAGTTTTCATTGTGCAACAACTATTCGTTGCTCCCGTTTCATTGATTGAATTGACTCATCAGAATGCAAAAACAATTTTGCATTTATACTTCACGATAAAGGAGTTCTAGTTGATAAATGATTTTACAATCTAAGATTATATATTACGTTTGATGAGACCCACGAAGTTACATGTATCATTTGCTATATTTTTCAATGGAGATTAATATTGCAAAATTGAATCATTAGGACCCTTTACTATATATTTTATTCTTCTGCTTCCTAAATCACACCTATTCTTTACCGTGTAGTGTTAACGCGATGAAGTTTACACTATGTACACACTTATAAACGATGTTGACAAATATTGTTGGCGAACGAGCTTTATTCAGAAGATTTTTCGGACATTGTGCAAGTAGCAATCGCACCTTGTAAACAAATTAAGCAGCTAAAATTCAGTAAATTATGAGTGCAAGAGCTATATTAGAACTGTATTAATGTAGATGTTAAACTAGAATTTTAGACTAAATTAATACTTTAAAAGTTCAGTCAAATTTGTATCTCGCTTTGTTAGGCAACTGCGCAACTTCAAACGTGCTACTTTCGTGAAACTTGTGTTGCTATGGATGTGAAATATTATACACAAAAACGCTTCTATGCGAAACAAGATAATGGCATTTTTAACTCTTGGATTTTGGACGAGAATAACATTTTCATTACTTGTCAATAATATTTGTCAATAATAATCTCTACCTGTGTACCTAGACTCAAAGAGAATCTTTTACTACCTATGAATGGATTCAGAGTTTTTTAGGTTTATTCTCACGCACGACAATACATTTCTAGAAGTAAGTTTTGCGTTGATAGGAAATCGTTCATGTAAATCTGCATATCGTAGATTCATTTGTAATAAAGCGCAGTGAGTTGCAGAAGGCGAAACTATCTATATATCCCTTGTTTTTCCTTTGTGGATATGTAACATTTCGTTCCGACTAGATTATTATTTGTCAAAAATAACTTTCTCCAGAGCATTTAAGCATTAATTGTTAAGTGCAAAAGTGTATTCCAAAGTAGTCTTTACAAAACTGTACTAATCTTTACTCAAGGCACTGTTTAAAGTAGCGGCTGTCAGCTTATGTTCAGCTTTACTAAGGAAACGGCTAATTACATAAATTCTTAACGTCATTGCAAAACATGTTTAGCCGCACAATAATACAAATTTCCTTATACATAACTGCAGATGTTGAAAAATTTTATGTTACGCAAATAAGCGGGAGATAATTGAAGAAAAGCCAACAAAAGATTCCTATAATTTTACACTCGATAAACGTGTATATATTTATATATATATATATGCAACACACACATACACACATATATGTACTTTGTATATTATTACGTACTATTATGTGAAAGCATAAAATTTACTCGTCGGCAATCGGCCGGCTCGTGGAATTGTAATCTTTTCGATATCTAGGAGGCACGAAGCTTGTAGAACCTTGGATTCAAGGGTGGTTGCTGCGAGGTATTGAATTGGTCTCCCCCGAAGAATATTGTCGCGTTATATTACTTATGTAACCTGTTACAGTCAAAATGTTACGCTCCACTGGTTATCACTCGACGACGCATATCACGAAATACACAAAAATCATAGAGTCTGTTGATACAAAAATATTTATGCAGAATAAGATCACAAAAATCAATGCCTGTTCCAATTAAATCCAAAGATACTTGTTCGTTCAACATTCTGGCTGTAACACGTTCTTCATTATCCTATTAGTTTATTCTCACTTGTATCCACCTACAACCCTATAAAAAAAAAAAAAAAAAAAAAAAAAAAAGAAAGAAAAAGAAAAAGTAAAGAAAAAAAAAACTACTACTTTCACACACGGATGCGACACACATGTTCTCTGATAACTAAGTTGTAATTTTATGGTGCCACAGGCGGTGGAAAGGAGTGGCGTGGCGCGGGTGTAGCCGATGATGGGGTAGCTGAGAGTAAGCAGTAAGCCGAGTAGCAGGGGGCTGTAAGCAGTTTGCAGTAGCGCGAGAGAGAGAGAGCGAGCGAGCGAGCGGTGTTGGCGGTGCGGTACGGTGCGATGCGGTGCGATGCGGTGCGAGGCGGTCTGTTCCGGTGCGGTGCGCTCCAATGGTCTGGTGATCCGGTGGTTCGTTCAAAGGCGGGTTTGCGAGAGATCAGGGCGAGAGAGAGGGGGAGAGAGAGAGAAATCGAACGAAAGATAGACGGAATAGATGCCAGTTCATCCGCAAGTATAAAAGAACCATCGTGAAAACTCTGCTGCTGACTTCGTCAAACTCCGGGGCGCAGTATCGGGTTCTAGCATCGCGCGACTGATCACATCACCAGACCTCGCGAACAGAGAGAAAGAGAGAGAGAGAGAGAGAGAGGGGCTGATTCATAAGCACGTATTCATCGATCGATCATCGGCGAATGGAGTCACGTGAAACGGTAAACTACTGGTAGATCATAGCGCACACACCATTGTGTTCGGAGTCGTATAACTTCGTATAATGTATGCTAT